ACGATTTTGAATTTTTATCAAAATTCGACACACTTAAATAAACCATTTTTGTTTTAATTAACACAATTAATTCATTAATTAATAAACACCTCTAGAAAATAAAATCATAGTGTTAATTTTTATAATTCTGTAGTACATTTTTGATTTATGCAAAAAATCTACAACCATAAATGAACCATTTTTTGTTTAATCAATAAAACTAATACACTATTCAATAAAGAACTCTGGAAAAAAAAATAGAAAGTTAAATTGTAAAATTCTGTTGCAGAATTCTGAACTTCTTTCGAAAGTCTACAAGCACAAATGAACCAGTTTTGATTTAATTGAGAAAATTAATTAATTCATTAATTCGTTACTTTAACCATTTAACATTCTGTTTGACAATTTTGATTTTTTCCAAAAATTTACACATATAAATGAACCATTTTTTATTTAGTTAATAAAATTAATTTATTAATTAACGAATTACTTTAAACATTCCGCATAAACAGTAATAAAAAATTTAAATATAAAGTTAAATAGTAAAATTCTACAATTCTGTTTTTTTTCAAAAATCGTTACACTTTAATGAAACCTTTTTGATTAAATTAATAAAACTGATTCAATAATTAATAAATAACTGTAGATACTAAAATTACAGTGTTAATTTTTAAAATTCTGGTGGGCAGTTTTGAATTTTTGCCAAAAATTTACAAAGAACCATAAATGAACCATTTTTGATTTAATCAGTAAATTTGATTAATTCATTAATTAACAATTCTAGCAAGTAAAAATGTGAAGTTAAATTTTAAGATTTTACGATTTTGAATTTTTACCAAAACTCGACACACTTAAATGAACCATTTTTGTTTTAATTAACACAATTAATTCATTAATTAAAAAATACTTCTAGAACATAAAATCATAGTGTTAATTTTTGTAATTCAGTACTACATTTTTGATTTATGCAAAAAATCTACAACCATAAATGAACCATTTTTTCTTTAAACAATAAAACTAATATACTATTCAATAAAGAACTCTGGGAAAAAAAATGGAAAATTATATTGTAAAATTCTGTTGCAGAATTCTGAACTTCTTTCGAAAGTGTACACGCATAAATGAACCAGTTTTGATTTAATTACGAAAATTAATGCATTCATTAATTCGTTACTTTAACCATTTAAAATTCTGTTTGACAATTTTGATTTTTTTCCAAAAATTTACACATGTAAATGAACCAATTTTTATTTAGTCAATAAAATTAATTTATTAATTAACTAATTACATTAAACATTCCGCATAAACAATTATAGAAAATTTAAATATAAAGTTAAATAGTAAAATTCTACAATTCTGTTTTTTTTTCAAAAATCGTTACACTTTAATGAACCCTTTTTGATTAAATTAATAAAACTGATTCAATAATTAATAAATAACTGTAGATACTAAAATTACAGTGTTAATTTTTAAAATTCTGGTGGGCAGTTTTGAATTTTTGCCAAAAATTTACAAAGAACCATAAATGAACCATTTTTGATTTAATCAGTAAATTTAATTAATTCATTAATTAACAATTCTAGCAAGTAAAAATGTGAAGTTAAATTTTAAGATTTTACGATTTTGAATTTTTACCAAAACTCGACACACTTAAATGAACCATTTTTGTTTTAATTAATACAATTAATTCATTAATTAAAAAATACTTCTAGAACTTAAAATCATAGTGTTAATTTTTGTAATTCAGTACTACATTTTTGATTTATGCAAAAAATCTACAACCATAAATGAACCATTTTTTCTTTAAACAATAAAACTAATACACTATTCAATAAAGAACTCTGGAAAAAAAAATAGAAAGTTAAATTGTAAAATTCTGTTGCAGAATTCTGAACTTCTTTCGAAAGTCTACAAGCACAAATGAACCAGTTTTGATTTAATTGAGAAAATTAATTAATTCATTAATTCGTTACTTTAACCATTTAACATTCTGTTTGACAATTTTGATTTTTTCCAAAAATTTACACATATAAATGAACCATTTTTTATTTAGTTAATAAAATTAATTTATTAATTAACGAATTACTTTAAACATTCCGCATAAACAGTAATAAAAAATTTAAATATAAAGTTAAATAGTAAAATTCTACAATTCTGTTTTTTTTCAAAAATCGTTACACTTTAATGAAACCTTTTTGATTAAATTAATAAAACTGATTCAATAATTAATAAATAACTGTAGATACTAAAATTACAGTGTTAATTTTTAAAATTCTGGTGGGCAGTTTTGAATTTTTGCCAAAAATTTACAAAGAACCATAAATGAACCATTTTTGATTTAATCAGTAAATTTGATTAATTCATTAATTAACAATTCTAGCAAGTAAAAATGTGAAGTTAAATTTTAAGATTTTACGATTTTGAATTTTTACCAAAACTCGACACACTTAAATGAACCATTTTTGTTTTAATTAACACAATTAATTCATTAATTAAAAAATACTTCTAGAACATAAAATCATAGTGTTAATTTTTGTAATTCAGTACTACATTTTTGATTTATGCAAAAAATCTACAACCATAAATGAACCATTTTTTCTTTAAACAATAAAACTAATATACTATTCAATAAAGAACTCTGGGAAAAAAAATGGAAAATTATATTGTAAAATTCTGTTGCAGAATTCTGAACTTCTTTCGAAAGTGTACACGCATAAATGAACCAGTTTTGATTTAATTACGAAAATTAATGCATTCATTAATTCGTTACTTTAACCATTTAAAATTCTGTTTGACAATTTTGATTTTTTTCCAAAAATTTACACATGTAAATGAACCAATTTTTATTTAGTCAATAAAATTAATTTATTAATTAACTAATTACATTAAACATTCCGCATAAACAATTATAGAAAATTTAAATATAAAGTTAAATAGTAAAATTCTACAATTCTGTTTTTTTTTCAAAAATCGTTACACTTTAATGAACCCTTTTTGATTAAATTAATAAAACTGATTCAATAATTAATAAATAACTGTAGATACTAAAATTACAGTGTTAATTTTTAAAATTCTGGTGGGCAGTTTTGAATTTTTGCCAAAAATTTACAAAGAACCATAAATGAACCATTTTTGATTTAATCAGTAAATTTAATTAATTCATTAATTAACAATTCTAGCAAGTAAAAATGTGAAGTTAAATTTTAAGATTTTACGATTTTGAATTTTTACCAAAACTCGACACACTTAAATGAACCATTTTTGTTTTAATTAATACAATTAATTCATTAATTAAAAAATACTTCTAGAACATAAAATCATAGTGTTAATTTTTGTAATTCAGTACTACATTTTTGATTTATGCAAAAAATCTACAACCATAAATGAACCATTTTTTCTTTAAACAATAAAACTAATACACTATTCAATAAAGAACTCTGGGAAAAAAATTGAAAATTATATTGTAAAATTCTGTTGCAGAATTCTGAACTTCTTTCGAAAGTGTACACGCATAAATGAACCAGTTTTGATTTAATTACGAAAATTAATGCATTCATTAATTCGTTACTTTAACCATTTAAAATTCTGTTTGACAATTTTGATTTTTTTCCAAAAATTGACACATGTAAATGAACCATTTTTTATTTAGTCAATAAAATTAATTTATTAATTAACTAATTACATTAAACATTCCGCATAAACAATTATAGAAAATTTAAATATAAAGTTAAATAGTAAAATTCTACAATTCTGTTTTTTTTTCAAAAATCGTTACACTTTAATGAACCCTTTTTGATTAAATTAATAAAACTGATTCAATAATTAATAAATAACTGTAGATACTAAAATTACAGTGTTAATTTTTAAAATTCTGTTGGGCAATTTTGAATTTTTGCCAAAAATTTACAAAGAACCATAAATGAACCATTTTTGATTTAATCAGTAAATTTAATTAATTCATTAATTAACAACTCTAGCAAGTAAAAATGTGAAGTTAAATTTTAAGATTTTACGGTTTTGAATTTTTACCAAAACTCGACACACTTAAATGAACCATTTTTGTTTTAATTAACACAATTAATTCATTAATTTAAAAATACTTCTAGAACATAAAATCATAGTGTTAATTTTTGTAATTCAGTACTACATTTTTGATTTATACAAAAAATCTACAACCATAAATGAACCATTTTTTGTTTAAACAATAAAACTAATACACTATTCAATAAAGAACTCTGGGAAAAAAATTTAAAATTATATTGTAATATTCTGTTGCAGAATTCTGAACTTCTTTCGAAAGTGTACACGCATAAATGAACCAGTTTTGATTTAATTACGAAAATTAATGCATTCATTAATTCGTTACTTTAACCATTTAAAATTCTGTTTGACAATTTTGATTTTTTTCCAAAAATTTACACATGTAAATGAACCATTTTTTATTTAGTCAATAGAATTAATTTATTAATTAACTAATTACTTTAAACATTCCGCATAAACAGTTATAGAAAATTTAAATATAAAGTTAAATAGTAAAATTCTACAATTCTATTTTTTTTTTTCAAAAATCGCTACACTTAAATGAACCATTTTTTATTTAATTAATAAGATTGGTTCATTAATTAATAAATAGCTGTAGACACTAAAATTACAGTGTTAATTTTTAAAATTCTGGTGGACAGTTTTGAATTTTTGCCAAAAATTTACAAAGAACCATAAATGAACAATTTTTGATTTAATCAGTAAAATTAATTCATTCATTCATTAACAATTCTAGAAAGTAAAAATATAAAGTTAAATTTCAAAATTTTGTACATCTTAAATTTACTTTTTGGTGGGGATGATCACACAAATTTTGTCAGTATTTTACCATCCGCACGATGTGTTCATTGTATATTTCAAATTTCACAACAATTGCCTAAATTAAAAAAAAACACCATGGACTATAAAGACCAGACAGACACACGGAAACGGGAAACCTAATTTTCCTGAAAGAGTTAAAGCTGAAGAAAAATCCCGTCTTCGTTTTGCACTTTATTTAATTTTAACCATACAGTATGTACACATTTATTCAAATTCACACCTGAGTTGTCAAAAAAATCACTTAGCTATAGTCAAAAAGTAGATACTTTTCTAGACACCTTGGCAACCTAAAACTCCGCACAGAATCAACCAACTCCTTCCCCCCCAAAGACCGTCTCAAAAACAACCTAACCTGCTTCTTCAAACTTAGCGGCCCACTAGCCAACTCCAACAACTCTTCTTTCTGCTTGGGCCTCATAACCCCATTTTTTCGAATCATGAGGGTATCAAAGGCCTCACATGCTTGTAACAACAGACGAAAAATAGCTTCCCCCCATTCCCCATGGATCACGTTATACAAGCAATTGAGCATTCCATCAGGGTCACAAATTTGAATCTTCATTATCACTCTAGCCCCATATTTGATGAGAAGATTGACAATTCCGAGACTCGGGTTAGAATTACAGGCCAGATATTCCACCAGAACTGGTCTTAGTTGGAGACAGTGTTCACCGACTTCGTTGTAGACTTTGAGGTTAGGGTCTGCACCAGCCTTCAGCAACATCTATGCAAAGAAATTTAGTCATAGTATAGTAGGTGTTTATTGTTTTATGGACAAACCTGAAGAATTTCGTGTCTGTGAGGGATGCTATCAGCACACGCCACGTGTAACGGGGAGCCAATCAAAGGCGAGCTGCAGTTGACATCCGCACCTTCTCTGATTAACAGTTCCACGATTTTTGGGTCCCCTCTCAGAATAGACAAGTCTAGAGGACTAGGTTTTCCCAAATTCGCTTCCTTGTCGTAGTTTAGCTTCGCTCCTTGCTTAATCAGCAAATTGATGACGTCGTAATCCCCGGATAGTACCGCATAGTGTAACGGATTTCTGTAGTCGTGCCTTTCGTCAGTCATAGCGTTAACGTCAGCCCCATACTTCAGTAGTACCAACGCAGCTTCCATTCCATACGGCTGTCGCACCACTTTCATCAAAGGAGTAAGCCCAGATCTATCCCTACTGTTCGGGTTTCCACCAAACGTCAGCAACAGTTCTAGTACTTTCAAATCCGTGGTCAGATTGATCTCGGTGCCGAAAAAGTACCGCTTGTTGGGGTCCGCACCATGTTCCAGCACCATCCTCGCAATGTCCATGTGGTTGTTCAAGATGGCGAGACGCAGAGGTTCGTCGCAGAGGGTACGACGTGGGAATTCTTCACCGGTGTTGAGGCGGTAGTTGACTTGGGCTCCGGATTGGAGTAGAAGACGGGCGATTTCTGGATATCTAGTAATAAAGTTAGAGGGAGTGGGTACTCGAGAAGGGGTTGTAGTACCCATGTTCTGCGGCGAGGTGCAGAGGGCTGTAGCCACACTTGTCGATGGCGTTCAGGTCGGCGCCTCGTGTGATGAGCAAACGGGCTGCCTCGAAGTACCCTTGCCAGACTGCGTAGTGCAAAGGTCTTAAACCACGATTCACCGGCTCGTCCACCTGAAAGTACTGTCGGGTGAAGTTTTACCAAAAAATGTAGTATAGTACCTTGGCTCCTGAGGCTAGAAGGATGCGGATTTCGTCGATTGGGACCTTGCGGATGATCGAGTCGGCTAGTGCCCTTTGCAGAGGTTTGTACTCCGACGACGACATTTTCTAAATTTTATTGATACAGTTTTGGAATGTGGTATTACACAATTAACTTACAGAATTGTCAGTGGATAGACTTTGTAGCGGCACGGTTCGCGTCACACTGAACTCTATTTATAAGTAGACATACTTTCCTTGTTAAAAATATTTACCTAGTGTGTTTTTTTTAATTTTGTGGTTAAATTCAAACTATAGTGGGTACTAAATAGACAAATTTTCTTCTATGGGGGTCTTTGGGGGTCTCTTCGTATCGTTCTAAAGACGAAGTACGCAGAAAAAACTTGCTTGGAAGGACGAAAGTTGTGCAACTTCATTGCTTATCTGAAAATAAATCGTTAACACTGACGCACTTGATTTTGATTTACTCCTCGGGATATTGAATGGAAACTGTTTCTGACGGACTCGGAATAAACTTAAGTCTTCGGGTGTTCTATTTTGGTCAAGGGACTGTAAAAATAGATATAATATTAAAGAACGAAAGACTTGAAAGGACGGCAACCAGCAATACACAAACACTGTATTGATTCTGGTGGTGGATTCTGCCGCGGGATGTACTAAGACAACGGGCCGACTGTACGGTGATCCGGCTCGAAAGACCAATTTTGATGAGTCTCTTCTTGTAATTTATCATCCCATTCATATTTTTTGGATTTGGATATATAGGGTAACTCAAAAAAATTAATGAATGCGCAAATTTATTTTATTAATTTAATCAGGAACTACAAAACCGAATGCTTTGAAATCTAATGTGAAAAAAAAACATAACAGGCATGCAGTCGTCACGTTTCCGATAGCGAGGGAAGTACTGTCTAAACTCTTTAGACCAATTTTTTTGCTTTTCCCATTTCTCCATTTCTCAATTTTTCAATGCTTCAGTTTGGGATTTTTTCACTGTTTCGATTCTTTAATTTTCCTTCCATTTTTAGGTTTTTCAATATTTCAGCTTTGGAATTTTGCAATATTTCGTTTCATCATTTTTTCAAATTTTTGATATTGTGTTTTCTCGGTTTTTAAATTTTTCGATATTTTATTTTTTCAGTTTTTAAAGTTTTAGGTTTTTAGATTTCTCACTATCTCGACTTTTCGATTTTTCAGTTCCATGATTTTTCAATTTGTCGAATTTTTAAATTTTAGATTTTTTGTTTTCTTTGATATTTTGAGTTCTCGATCATTCGATTTTCTGCGTTTTCAGGCTTAGATTTTTTTTGTTGTTCAATTCTTGGGTTTTTAAAATTTTTGTTTTTTAAATTTTCCTGTTAATCAACTTTCTGGGATTTCAATGTTTTGATTTTTTGATTGTTCAATTTCTCGATTTTTTGAAATTTTAGTTTTTGTTACAATTTTTTTTTCAAAAATTTTCAGTTTTTCAATTTATTAACTTTACGATACTTCAGTTTTGCTCGATTTCGATTTCTCAATTTTTCGACATATTACTGTTGGGATTTTTCAATTTATCGATTCTTCGATTTCTCGATTTTTCATATTTTTGGTTTTTGGAATTTCTTCATTTTTTGTTTTCTCAATTTTCCGATGTTTCTGTTTAACCATTTTTAAATTTTTTTGTTTTTCAGTTTTTAATTTTTGACGTTTCTAAATTTTTCGATTTCTCAATTTTTCGATTAACTGATTTTTTGATTTTCCCATTTCTCTATTTCTCGATTTTTCAATTCTTTCTTCAATTGTGATTTTTCAATTTTTCAATTTCTGAATTTTTCAATGTTTCAGTTTTGGATTTTTTCGCTTTTCCGATTCTTCAGTTTTCTTTCCATTTTTCAGTTTTTTAAGATTCCAGTTTTGAATTTTTTCACTTTTTCAATTTTTCAATTTTCCTTCCATTTTTCAGTTTTTCAGTATTTCAGTTCTGGGGTTTTGCAATGTTTCGGTTCTTCAATTTTTCCATTTTTTGATGTTTCGATTTCTCGGTTTTTCAATTTTTCGATAGGTATTTTAATTTTTCAATTTTTAAGTTCTCGATTTTCCGTTAATTTTTTTTGGTTTCCTTGATGTTTTGATTTCTCGATTATTCGATTTTTCAAGTTCTCGGTTTAGATTTTTTGGTTTTCCAATTCTTCGATTTTTAAATTGTTTAATTTTTAGATTGTTCAATTTCTCGATTTTTAGATTTTTCAATTTTTCGGTTTACCGATTTTTTTTCATTTAAAATGTTTCAATTTTTCAATTATTAACTTTTCGATTTTTCAATTTTCGTCTAATTTGATTTCTTAATTTTTTGATTTTTTGATTCCTCTACTGTTGATGTTTTGATTTCTCGATGTTTCAGTTTTTGAACATTCTAATGTTTGGATTTTTCGACTTTTTGGCTTTTCGAGTGTTCAATTTTTTGATTTTTGAATTTTAGATTTTTGTTTTTTTGATTTTTTTGGTGTTTCGATTTCCCAATTCTTCAATTTTTCGATATTTTAATTTTTCAATTTTTCGAATTTTTAAATTTTTGATTACTCTTTTCTTTTATTTCTCAATTTTTGGATTTTTTTTTTACATCTTTCGATTTCACTATTTTTTGATGCTTGGATTTCTCAATATTTCAAGTTTTCAATATTCAATTTTTCCGGATTTGAATACTGAGAACTTTTCAATTTCTGGATTTTCAATTTTCAGATATTTAAATTTTTTGATTTTTTAATTTTTCGATCTGTTGTCTATTTTAAGTATGTTTCGTTTTTCAATTTGCGCCTTCTGCGGGAGTATTATTTGTTGTGCTGCACTTGACGGGCGAAGGAAGTTCTGTCGAAATAAAATTCGACCAATTTTTTATACTTAGCACGTAGGGTTCTCACTAAGCATTCCTTATTTAACCGAACAGTTATTAATTTAACTAAGCAGCTATTTTTTCACCAAGCATATATTATTTTTATTAAAAAATGGATTCTTTAACTGAGCATTTATTATATAACTTAGCATTTATCATTTTTACCGAGCAAAAATACAGAGCGTTTAAAAATAGAACTGCTTTTTTGCTTTTCCCATTTCTCAATTTTTCAATGTTTCAGTTTGGGCTTTTTTCACTGTTTCGATTCTTTAATTTTCCTTCCATTTTTAGGTTTTTGAATATTTCAGCTTTGGAATTTTGCAATATTTCGTTTCTTCAATTTTTCAAAATTTTTGATATTGTGTTTTCTCGGTTTTTAAATTTTTCGATATTTTCATTTTTCAGTTTTTAAAGTTTTAGGTTTTTAGATTTCTAACTATCTCGACTTTTCGATTTTTCAGTTACATGATTTTTTAATTTGTCGAATTTTTAAATTTTGATTTTTTGTTTTCTTTGATATTTTGAGTTCTCGATCATTCGATTTTCTGAGTTTTTGAGACTTAGATTTTTTTTGTTGTTCAATTCTTGGATTTTAAAAATTTTTGTTTTTTAAATTTTCCTATTTATCAACTTACTGGGATTTCAATGTTTTGATTTTTTGATTGTTCAATTTCTCGATTTTTTTAATTTTTAGTTTTTGATACGATTTTTTTTTTTCAAAAATTATCAGTTTTTCAATTTATTAACTTTACGATACTTCAGTTTTGCTCGATTTCGATTTCTCAATTTTTCGACATATTACTGTTGGGATTTTTCAATTTATCGATTCTTCGATTTCTCGATTCTTCATATTTTTGGTTTTTCGAATTTCTTCATTTTTTGATTTCTCAATTTTCCGATGTTTCAGTTTTACGATTCTTAAATTTTTTTATTTTTCAGTTTTCAATTTTTGACGTTTCTAAATTTTTCGATTTCTCAATTTTTCGATTAACTGATTTTTTGATTTTCCCATTTCTCTATTTCTCGATTTTTCAATTATTTCTTCAATTGTGATTTTTCAATTTTTCGATTTCTGAATTTTTCAATGTTTCAGTTTTCGATTTTTTCACTTTTCCGATTCTTCAATTTTCTTTCCATTTTTCAGGTTTTCAAGATTTCAGTTTTGAATTTTTTCACTTTTTCGATTTTTCAATTTTCCTTCCATTTTTCAGTTTTTCAGTATTTCAGTTCTGGGGTTTTGCAATGTTGCGGTTCTTCAATTTTTTCCATTTTTTGATGTTTCGATTTCTCGGTTTTTCAATTTTTCGATAGGTATTTTAATTTTTGAATTTTTGAGTTCTAGATTTTCCGTTAATTTTTTTGCTTTCCTTGATGTTTTGATTTCTCGATTATTCGATTTTTCAAGTTCTCGGTTTAGATTTTTTGGTTTTCCAATTCTTCGATTTTTAAATTGTTTAATTTGTAGATTGTTCAATTTCTCGATTTTTAGATTTTTCAATTTTTCGGTTTACTGATTTTTTTTCATTTAAAATGTTTCAATTTTTCAATTATTAACTTTTCGATTTTTCAATTTTCGTCTAATCCGATTTCTTAATTTTTTATTTTTGATTCCTCTACTGTTGATGTTTTGATTTCTCGATGTTTCAGTTTTTGAACATTCTAATGTTTGGATTTTTCGACTTTTTGGCTTTTCGAGTGTTCAATTTTTTGATTTTTGAATTTTAGATTTTTGTTTTTTTGATTTTTTTGGTGTTTCGATTTCCCAATTCTTCAATTTTTCGATATTTTAATTTTTCAATTTTTCGAATTTTTAAATTTTTGATTACTCTTTTCTTTTATTTCTCAATTTTTGGATTTTTTTTTTACATCTTTCGATTTCACTATTTTTTGATGCTTGGATTTCTCAATATTTCAAGTTTTCAATATTCAATTTTTCCGGATTTGAATACTGAGAACTTTTCAATTTCTGGATTTTCAATTTTCAGATATTTAAATTTTTTGATTTTTTAATTTTTCGATCTGTTGTCTATTTTAAGTATGTTTCGTTTTTCAATTTGCGCCTTCTGCGGAAGTATTATTTGTTGTGCTGCACTTGACGGGCGAGGGAAGTTCTGTCGAAATAAAATTCGACCAATTTTTATACTTAGCACGTAGGGTTCTCACAACATTCCTTATTTAATCGAACAGTTATTAATTTAACTAAGCAGCTATTATTTCACCAAGCATATATTATTTTTACTAAAGAATTTACTTTTTAACTGAGCATTTATTATATAACTTAGCATTTATCATTTTTACCGAGCAAAAATACAGAGCGTTTAAAAATAGAACTGCTTTTTTGCTTTTCCCATTTCTCAATTTTTCAATGTTTCAGTTTGGGATTTTTTCACATTTTCGATTCTTTAATTTTCCTTCCATTTTTAGGTTTTTCAATATTTCAGCTTTGGAATTTTGCAATATTTCGTTTCTTCAATTTTTCAAATTTTTGATATTGTGTTTTCTCGGTTTTTAAATTTTTCGATATTTTCATTTTTCAGTTTTTAAAGTTTTAGGTTTTTAGATTTCTCACTATCTCGACTTTTTGATTTTTCAGTTCCATGATTTTTCAATTTGTCGAATTTTTAAATTTTGATTTTTTGTTTTCTTTGATATTTTGAGTTCTCGATCATTCGATTTTCTGAGTTTTCTGGCTTAGGTTTTTTTTGTTGTTCAATTCTTGGATTTTTAAAAT